GGGCCTGCGGGGTTAGGCGGCGGGGTACCCGGGGCTGGGCGGCGGCGGGGGTCGTCCGGCGGTGGCGGGGTTGGATGAACCCCGCGGCGGGGGTCCGGGGTCCGCAGCCTAACACCGGCTTTGCCCCCGGGGTTCCCCGGGGTTCCCCGCTCGACAACGCTGGTTATGACTACTCTGCTTTGACTGACTGTGCCGTTCAAAAAAGGCCATAATGAAAATCACTTGTGGCAGTTCACGTAATACTTCTCTCTGAACTTCTTTCCCTCTGCGGGAATCGACGAATCGAGATCTTACGTGAACAGACATCTCACTCCTTTTAGGGAAAACTCTCTCCTCTCTTTAGAACTGAGATCGCGTGTGGAGCCGACCTCCCGGCGTCAGACCTCCTCGTGATCCCCTAAGCACGAGCGCATCCAATTCTCTGCTGACTGACTGCTCTCTCTCTCCCCCCACACACCAAATGACGGACTGTGCCCCCCAAAAAAACGGGGAGCATTGGACTATAAGTATTCGCACACGCGTACTCTTACCTCCCCTTCAAAACGATGGACTATCTATCGAACGAAAAAACTTACTGACGATGTAACCCGGGCTGCAAGACCCCCTGCATCTCTCTTCCCCTTCCCAAAACATAGACAAGTAGTATGGAGGCATGAAATACGAGATCTACTCAGTGAACAATCCCAAGCCTCGGACGTCGATGAGCAAAACCTGTTTGGACACTTACTAGCACTTGGGTTAGTTATGGAAGAGCAACAAAGATTCATGAGATGCTAGATCTCTCGAAAATCCAGGTAGATGTTTTTTTGCCACAAAGGATGGGATCTACCATACTTGCGGTTTGTTCCTGAGCTAGAGGTGTGTCGGTGACTTGTTATCAGAGCAGTATACCTGGCATAGTGAACTTGCCATGAAGTGCGTAAAGCACACACATCAAAACACACACGAGTGGGATCTTTCCCGTAGCGTTGTTGATGGGTGCCCCTGTCAGCCACACCTCGTACTGCTTAGGCGTCGTACTAACGAGATGCAAGGTAAGTGGTTAGGAAAATCAAGCGAGGCGATGACATCGAAAAGAGTGAGGAGTAAGTCTGGCGTTCTGGATTGGCTGCGGGTGACAATGGAGTAACGATTGCTAGTGGTCCTTGCTTCTGTACCTTCCCCTCTCCCTGCTTTTCCCCCCTCCCCTCCCTTCCCTTTCTTTTTTCTTTTTGTCTTTTGTCTTTTTCTGTGTTTTTTTCTTTTTTTTCTGTTTTTCTTCGCACTGCCCTCCTTGTTGAGTACAGGTTGTGCCTAACGAAGATCTCCCAGGAGGTTGGTGGAGCGAGATCATCGAAAGATTTGCCTGGCTCGAACAGTGCCCATACCCTAGTAAACCTGCTCAAGCCCTTATCACGTGCATGGAAGCCGAGACGATGGAGGTCATCAAACAAGTGTGGGAAACCGAACATTTTCCAATTTTTTCGAAATGGTTGGGTTCAGTGATTTGGCGAAATTGGCGCTGGCATGGGAGAGCAATCCTGCGGGATTCCATAGGGAAGTTGAACGTTTAGGGGATGACTTACCAGGAGAGAAGCAAGAGTAGAGCAAATTTTCTTGGGAGCATGGGGACTGAGCGACTCACATTTGAGAGACCTTGTTCCAGCCGCACCCCCCCCCCCCCCCAAACCCACCCCCCCCCCCCCCCCGCCAAACCCACCTACACCACTACCCACTGCCCCCCAGCCTTTACGAGCCGCTGGCTGCGCAACTTTCGATCTTAATGAGAATGACATAGCCGAAATGCAGCAAGCGATTGCCACCATCTCCGCGACGGTGCACCAGCCCTCACAGAGGAGGGTTGCTGCCCCCAGGCCAGGACGATCGTCCACCTCATCTAGACAATTCACGACCTTTGCACCACTAGCCTCGCAACACTGGGTAGAGCACACCTTGACAGCCTTCAGGCACCGCGTTTGGAAGCCCGACACTTACAACCACTTGGCACCCATCTCAGTGAAAGCCTTCCAATTCCTAGTCGGTCTTACGGATGATCAGGTTAGGAAATGTCGGGCTCGGGCGTACACAACGCATATGAAATATTGTGGCAAATCGGTTAATCCTTTTTTGCCCAGTGATCTCGCCTTCCCACTGATGAACTAAGTGGACCCGGACAAGTGCGGGGACTCCACTCCGGTTATGTGGCACAAGGCCATCAAACAGCCCTCGGCCCTAGATCTCACGAATCTACGCAAAGTCTGGAGCGCGGGGAGACCTTACCTCAAGTGCAGCCGCAAGCAGGGGGAGGAGGATAAGAACTGCCCCGACGGTCCCTTATGGGTCGATCACACCATTTGGTACCTCCTGGCACATCCGGACATCCTATTCCCCACGATGTCGTCAATCAAGGTCAGAATGTCGATGCTAGTTCATTACCTTAGGACCACGTGGCGGGAGGCCGTGATCGGCTGCATCACCTTCATGTGCGTAAGAGAAGTCATGATGGATCTCATCGAGGCGATGGAGCAGAATCCGCAGCACACAGCTGAAACGGTGATCAGGGACGAGAGGCTATGGAGGCATCAGCTTCCACCGACGCTCGGAAGATTGCTTCTTCCGAGGAGGATCCCTGACACACCAAGAAGGGTGGTCCCAGCCCCCAGGAACAGGAACCCCGTCGCACAGATTCATGCCCAATGCAGGCTCAACTTCCAAGCGATTAACAGAGCTAACGGCGGCGCAGCACCTGCAACTGCTCAAGCGCAACCCGTAGCCCAAGGGGATAATCGTATGGCAGCGCAGGCTGACCAGCAGCAGCAGCAACCCATCCAGCAGCAGGCGCAGCAGCTGAGGGTAGCAACAGCTGGATTGCTAACAGCAGCAGCAGGGAGCAGTAGCTTCCACATCACGAACCTCGGGCAAGGGATGACACAACCACAGGACGCTAGTACTGCCATGCAGGAGATCACAAAAGATGGGCCTGAGCAAGCGAGGGCGGGACGACGATCATCTCAGCAGAACAGCCAACCACCTATCGTTGCCACTCCGGTTTCTGCACAATCGTTAGCAGCGCGTTGTCCATATACCCGCGGGAAAAGGAGATCACCTGAAGAAGTCTGAGACATTGACTCAACACACTCTCAACCAAGCAAGAAGCAGAAGCGGAAAGCCTCCTACAACAGACGGATTCAGATACTAACATCTTGAGAGAAGACAGGATCATCTCGTTGCTAATGACCGCGTCGCACTCCCTTCTCTTCTAAGCATTCTCGCTCCCTCTTTCTCTCACCAACCCCTTCCATATTTTCCTTCGTCTTTTCGACAACTTTGATAATGCATGCTTGAGCTAATGAATGCGAGAAGGCGCGCGCACGCATTGTTATAGCATAGACATGTATATGTGTATATTGGTGTTTATATACATATCCATGTATATACTTTCTTTTACCAGGGACGAAAATCTGATCTCTGACATTTAGATATGTTGTATCTGTTTTTATATATATATATATATACATATATATACATGTATATATATATGTATATATATATATCGTCAAATAGCTAAGCGCCCACGGTGCGGGCGGTGTGGTCAATGCCCGCAAAAAAAAAAAA